ATATATATATATATATATATATATATATATTTTATCCATAGTGATGATTAAATTAATATATATGTGCAAAATAAAAGTTTTATTCATATTCAATATTTATATTAAATTAATTGATTATTCTTTATAGAAGTTTAAACCACATTCTTAATTGCATATTATTTTATTTTCTCATTGCATATTTTTTTTGTGTTAAGTTGAAATTAATTTTATTAACTCAAATTTGAGTACTATATAACACTCAAAATAAACATAATTAAGATGAGGACATTGTAACTAATTGACAATTAAGCAATAAGTGGAGTTGTTAATTAATTACCTTTAGAATTTCTATTCAACAAATTGTTTTGGTAAAACCTAATTAACAAATTGATATACTTAAACTCTTGCACTAATTCACCTGATGACGTAAATCATATATTTTTCGTAATTTTTTTTCTTTCTTTATCTCAAACACACTCTAAATAAAGTTATTTCTCGATAATTAAAGAAATTAAATAATTATTATCACCGCAAACAAAAAGTAAATTAAAAGCATATAGACCAACTAATCAGATACATGTTTTTTTTTAAACAAAAATGAAAAGTGCAAGAAAATAAAACAAAAAAAGACACATAAAATTAGGCTAAAATAATGGTATGTAATTTGTCCAACAATATAATCCACTAGCTATTATTACACATGATTTAATTTAAGTTGCAATGTATTTGGACTAATTAATTTTGACCCTTTTTAACAAAGTAATAAAATAAAATAAAGTGTATACCGACATAAACATTTGTTTGAAAAAACATTGATGTGACATAATCTTCATTTCATTTATCCACGCTTATATGATTATTCAAGGCATACACCATGTACTCAACTTTCGAAAAATTATTCATAAGATGAAAGTTGCGGAAATATAAAAATTAAATATGTGATTATATCATAATAGAAATAATTATATTTATAAAGATTTAAATAATATATGTTAAGGATATAGTGTGAAAAAATTGTTTAAGATAACGTGATATATTTTGTATCATATTTATAAGATGAGAGTTGCGGAAATATGAAAATTAAATATGTGATTATATAATAATGAAATAATTATATTTATAAAGATTTAAGTAACATACGTTGAGGATATAATGTGAAAAAATCGTTTAAGATAACGTGATATATTTTGTATCATATTCATAAGATGAGAGTTGCGAAAATATGAAAATTAAATATGTGATTATATCATAATAGAAATAATTATATTTATAAAGATTTAAGCAACACACGTTGAGGATATAATATGAAAAAATCATTTAAAATGATGTGATATATTTTGTATCGATCTATAAATGTGAAATATAACTAGTGAAAGTGTAAAAATAGACAAAATAGATCTAAAATCGCATATACAGTCTCAAAAATTTACAGCAAAATTGCTTAATGTTAATACAGACTTAGCTAAAAATAAAACTAATTAATGAAAAAGATTTATATAGATAATAATCACTAATCAAGTATAGATATTAGACTTGGATGAATAGAATTTTATCATGCTTTTTACTCTTATTCTATTTATTATGATAATGATATGATATGAGTTCAAATATTGAAATGAAAAATCGATATAATCAATTTTCACTTATTTAGAACTAAGACGTTATTATTATATTATTGTATATCCAAATTTTTCCTTTTTTAACTACTACATTGTAAAATATATTTGAGCAAATTCACTTGATCGTCTCTATGACTAATCAAATTTATATTGACGTTGACGTTTAAAAATATGACCTAATAATCGATAAAATTAAAATAAAATCATTAATAATTTATTATTTAAATTTCTAAAATCTAAATATCAATAATAATGTGAAATATTACTGAAGAGAATGAAGAATAAAAAACAATTTATAAAACCTAAATATATATATATATACTAATAATAATTTATGGATTGAGTAAATATTCATATTTTTTCTGATTAAACAAAAAGAATAAATAAAAAAATAAAGAAAAATAAAAAGGGTAGAAGTAGAACTAACAAGAATCTTGTGAAATTATATCACAAGCTGAATGTGTTAACAACAAAGTATGTATACATCTATATATACATTATTTTTAATCTTCAACTAAATCGTTCGATATTCATATTAAAAATTCAAATAACTATAAAAATACACGTCAAAGTTAAGCTAATTAAATATTTATTTCAATCGATAATAACAAACACCACGTATAAGCTAAACGGACATTAATTTAATATAAAATAGTGATAATTAAGATATGACTCAGATAAGAAACTCGCGAAAAAAGCGAAAAAAAATTGAAATAGGTTGATTTTACGGTTGGTGAAATGAAATTATTTGACAAAAG